GCATTCATCCCGGGTACACCATAGTGATACCCAAGAGTCATTATGCCGCCACGNTTTCCAGCCCCCTGCTGAAGCATTTCTCATAGGGATCCCCTTGGATGGGGGTCCCTCTTCAGTTTAAGGTCCTTATGACCGTTTTTTTTTTTGGTTCCTTTCATTTTGGTCCCACTAGTTTTGGGGATTTAAAGGTCGCCACCCACAGTGCCCCATACTGGTGGAAGGCATACGTATAACGTAGTGCCGCCTGGTGCCCCGAGAGGATCGTTCAAGACACTGGCTAATTACCATCCCAGTGCCACGCAGCCCCCCCAGCATGATGCCTCACACCTTGGCTTAGGTGGTTTGGTCCTGTAGTAAATGAAAACCCCACAAGCCTCCAGGACCAAGAGTGCCTGTTCGGGGGGAGAGGGGTATCCCATATGACTAACACCAGTTAGTCGTGAGATTGCAACCAGGGCAACCTACATGAGAAAGTCACCCATGGGGTTAGCTTATGAGCTTCCCCATTCCTACCCCTCCACATGGGTTGGTCAAACCGTTTTAGAGTGTTGAGCCCTAAGATTTGTGGCACCTTATTTCGAACCTAGGGATACAACTCAAATAGCCGAAGCTACCCCTATAGGAGTGCTCTCCAGCATTCATCCCGGGTACACCATAGTGATACCCAAGAGTCATTATGCCGCCACGTGGGAGGCTCCGGTCTCATAGCCATCCAGTGGGACCACGAGGAGGTGTCCCAACGCATGCCTGGTCGATGATGTATCCCCACCAAGACACGGCCGTGGTTTGGCCAACCTCACCGAGGACGGCGTCATTACCACCTGTAACATGTGACATTAAAACATCACAGTTACCCCGGGATCAAACCCGGGCTGCATCTCTTACATTAAGGGAAAAACATTGATTAAGGCTGTTTGAGAACAGGGTGCTTAGGGGAATGTTTTGAGTGTAAGAGGAATGAAATAATAGGAGGTTGGAGACAGTTACATAATGAGGAGCTTCATAATTTGCACTCATTGAGAAATTTTGTTATAATGGTAAAATTAAGGAAGGTCAGATTGCCAGAATATGTAGAATGCATGGGAGAGGAGTGAAGTGTAGTGAATACAGGTATTCTTTGATATATGCAAATCTGAAAAAAAAAGACTTCATCTTAATGTGTTAAATTACATTTTATTAGTGCTACTTGCTGACCAGTTGGGAGAGACATGAAGAAGCTGGACTACAGTGATGTGTGGATAGTGGTAGAGGGCTGCAAGAGGTGAAGGGGAAATTTTGCACATCTGTTAAGGCATTCTGACGGGAATTATTCTTCTCTTATTAACTTGGAGCTGGGATAGGGCAGTCAGTATAGTGACTGCTACAAGCTGGATGATCAAGGGGTCAGAGTTTGAGTCCTGGTAGGGTCAAGAATTTTTTCTGTGTCATCCAGACCAGCTCTGGGGCCCACTCAGCCTCCTATCCAGTTGGTACTGGAGGCTCTTCCCTCAGGGGTAAAACAGCTGAAGCTGATCGCTCACCTCCAAGTAGTGCCGAGGTCAAGAAAACGTGGACCTGTACATCCACTCCCCTATATGTCTTCATGGTATAGCGCTTAATTAATTCAGCACAGGGACAGCTTTACCATTTTATTGTTAACTTAATCAAAACTGTTTTTGTCATATAAATCTATTTAACAATGTTTAAAATACATATTTTTCATGTGTTTGTTAATGTATGAGAGAGTGACAGAATGTTTGTGTTAGGACGATTGGGCAAGTGATTGTGACTTGGTGGTACAGGTAGTCTCTGCACATTTCAGGGATTGTATTCCTTACCATTTCTTGGCAGTGAGTAGTGTTATATTTTCAAAGTAAGTTATTTTAAAGAGAACTTATTTGTACTGAAATGACATAAATATTTCTAAGTATTTTGTTATATTGTACAAGACAGTCTAAATAATTTCTCTTATGGTTTCTTGCGGATCTTATGCATTTCCATTGATTCTTATGGGGAAACTATGTTCTCATGTGATTTCACCCTCTCTGACTCTTTTGGAACACATCTGCCACATAAATCGAGGAGTGCCTGTACAAAATTTTGATAGGGAAACATGGAAGACCTAGGCTTAGATGGGAGGATGTTATTAAAATGAATCTTTAATATGTAGGCTGGAATGTTGCAGACTAGTTTCATCTGGTTCAGGATAGAGACAAATGGCAGGCTGTTGTGATCCCAGTCATGAGTCTTAGTTTCCATGCAGTAAGTGTGTAACAACTTCCTACTTTACATGAAGGTCAAATCAGAATAATGACAATAGAGTCATGAAACCAAATTTTGTTAAAAGGCAGGCTTGATGGAAATTATTTAATGTTTTGTCTGTTCCATCATTTCTGTATGTTTTTGAAATCTTGACATTAGAACAAAGGGATATGAGGAGACTAGAAACAACATATACGAAATTGAAGAGAGAGACAGCAGAGTACGGCTTAATGGACCCGAGAAGGAACAGAGATATATTGGAACCTGAAGTGGATCCAATTGGAAAGATATTAGCGCATGTAAACAGAACTAATTAGGTCATGTAGGAAAGACTTGGGACACCCAGATCCATTGCAAGATGGAGACCTGGATGACAAGGGCACTATCCCGAAGCCAGAACTGAGTGTGTTGGTGTAGCTTGGTTTGAATGCCAGCATATGACCTCCATCCAAACCTTTTCCAGTTCATCATTCACCAGATACCCTGTCATGAAGGGCGACACTATGCTGCAAGCTGCAAGGTTGTGAGTTCAGTTCCCAATGAGATGGATTTTACAATTGACCTAACCCTTCCAGCCGCACTGACCCTGGTGTCAGCTCAGCCTCTAACAGAAAAGTGTACCAGGAACCTTCCTGGGGTAAAGGACAGACTGCCAGCATGTAAGGCTGACAACCTCACTGCCATCTGTGAGCCAATTGTCTACAGAATGTGGGAGCCTTGATGTCTCACAACCCTATGGGCCTGTACCTTATCCTGTCATGTTGCTGTACAGTTAGAGGTTTTGACAGTAGCTTGAAGTAACTGAATGCACTTACCACCAAAGCCAGAACAGGTCATTTATTGGCCCAGCTTCATGACAAGACAAGGAAGGGGAGGGGAGAAGAGCAAACAGAAATAGAATAATAGTTCATGTATAGTGTGTGATGTTTCTTATAAGAACCTCTGTAAAGTGTAGAAACATGCAAAAATGTGTTCTTGGCTGCTGCCTGATTTGTCTCACTGTGGCAGCTGAGTATGGGTGGCAGTGAGCAACAGGATGAAGCCATCAACAACAATCAAGGAGCCACAATTGGCATTGCACAACAGTGTTGCCAGTTGCTACCATTTGGACGGAGGGTGACAAGCGGTGTATTTTGATGTCAGACCCAAGGCATCAATAAGGAACATTCTGCTTGCCTTTGTTATTGCCCTCTTCTTCTGCCGTTTCTTGTTTATTCTTTCATTTTTATCTCAAACATTTTTCTTTCTGTGAAGTTATACTGCAGCTTCCTGTTCCACATATTCCCTGTCTCACATGCAAACTTGTGTACACCATTCTCTCAGTGGCACACCCTGGGATTGCCAGCATTGTATTCTGGGGCTGTTAGTACAATGTGCAACCACAAGGTTCGTCATGTCAACTGTGATGATAGGATTGGAGTCAATACCCTTAATGGGTGGGACCCAAGAAAACTTCATTGCGTACACTAGGTATGCTTCAGATAATGGATAACATCATCTTTCTTACCATCCATTCTCAGAGATCTGTATAGCACTCACTCGTCAAGCTCCATCTGTAACGCAACATAAGACTGTTCACAGTCTGTCTTTAATTTAAAATAACATTAAAATTGCACCAGTTGCTATATGTTTCAGCCTCACTTGACCATCTTCAGGCAGTTGTTCACACTAAAATATGTTTCTTTGAGAATAAAACCCTCTCCATTTCACTTTATTTTCCTTTTGCGGTGTCCATGTTTCTGTATTGTATAGTATATGTTTATTGTCAGTGCAGAGATATATCATTACTTTATGAATTCACTATTTTTGTGTGTATTTACATTATTTTCTTATGTGTTTATGTGCCTCCTACATGTGTATTTTCTCACTAGTTCTCCCTTGTATGGGTGTTCAGTGTGATTGTTCCAGCTTATATATGTTTTCTGTTGGTGTCTGTGCTTCTGTCTGTTGTAAAGTTCATGTAAGATAGGAACCATGGAGTTGTATGTGTCAGTGTATGTATCGTTCATATGCGGGTTATTCCGTCTGATTCTATAAACGTGATATTTTTCCAAGGTAATCAAATGTCTGTGTTTCCTTCCTGTCCTTATGACATCCATAGTATCTGTTATTGTTCCATATGTATGTCATGTGTGATCTGTATAGAATCATTTTACAGTGTTAGTATGAGAAAGCTGTGCAGTGCTTGTTGGTTCAGTAAGTTTCAATGTAATGATGTTTGAAATTGTGCTGATTGGAACTCTTAGCAACCTGACTTGGTCACTTCATAAGCTATTCAAGTAAAAATGCTCAGATATTAAAATAATTATTTACAAAACATGAAGTATCGAGAGTAATTTTATATCATTATGCTTCCATCATTGATTAACCCTGCTTAAATTTGTTAAAAATCAATACAACCTGTCCATTGAGTACTGGGGGCTCAATCCCTGGGGTTAAAGAGCCAGACTGAATCTGAACACTCCTTTCCATCTCGTGCCATTTGTTGACCTGTACCTCTGTGCATCATCATGTCTTCATCGTGTGATGCTTAACTGAGCAAACACGGGTACAATTTTACTTTTGATATATCTCGTTGTCTCAGTAGTTCATATTTGTAACAGTATCACATGATGTGCAGCTGTTCACAGAGCACTGTGTGTAAGAATGTGTATAAAACTGAACATTTGTGTTGATGGTTTTTGCTAACAGCCATTGAATAAAGCTGTTTATTGTACTTTTCATGATTCTGTGTTATGTTCTACCGTTCTCTGTACTAGATCTGACAGGAGAACAGCGATTGCGCCAGCTAGAAGCCCTGTTCCTGGGTGGACCTATCCAGGGACATGGACAGAGCTTCAGTGTTGAAACTCTCCTGGATGTCCTGCTCGTGCTCTATGAGGAGTGCTGCAACTCTTCGCTGCGAAGAGAAAAGACAGTATCCGACTTCATCGAATTTGGTAAGATGTGGCTCGTGAATTCGTAAGTGTGATTCACATGTTCATTGTCGAGAACAAATTTGAAACAACTTCTGATCATTTCAATGAAATCCAATCCTCGATGGCTGACCTCACCACCATCTGTGTGCCAATTGTCTAGAAGATGTGGGAGCCTTGACATCTTACAACCATATGGGCCCTCATGGCCTCTTGCAGGGATGTCTTTACAACATAATTTACATATCTTTCTTGTTCATTTGATTTTCTTAGCATGTAAACCACCTGAAAATGTCATAGAAACAGAATTCTTCTAATAAACAGTAATGAGGGATTAACACATTTAAGGTCAGGCATTTCGTACACATCTGAAACACCCACATGAAGGTTTTGGAGCCAGTTACAAAGAACTCACATTACATTACACTGCATTATGTTGCCGGGCATGGTGTGGCAAGGTTCCAGAGTACAGTGCAGTTTCACACAAACTTTCACACAATATCAGAGACTCAGAGGGTTCATGTAAGGTATTCCGATGCTTCCGATAGATCCACACGCGAACTCATCTCAGTAATTTCAACTTATGCTGTTTATACAAACATTTTGAATTATCAGTGAATTTTAAACAATAGGAATTCATTGACACTGCAGTTAGTGTCTGTGTAAGCATTATTTTAGTACTACTTCATATTGTGCCTTTTCATTCGTAAGACTTCTGAGACAAGGTGGTAGTTTGTTGGAAATTCTGATTCCAATGCCATATATCGTTGTGTAGTCAGTAAAGGTGAAAATGCTATACTCACTTGCTGTTGTGTGATTTTCTGCTGTATTGTGCTCTAAGTAAAAGGGTGAAGACAAAAAAATGTGGTAACATTATTCTGAGGCATTCTGTACTGCTCTAGTTGTCTCGTTCGTATGTACCCCGGAAGAGATTCTGAAAATGTTGAAGTCTGACAACTGGCAGAAAGAGGTGTGACACACCCTGTTACAGAAGTCTGTATTGTTGCCATGAAAGGGTTGCATTGTTAAGGTGGTGATTTAGTTGAACTGAAAGAAGTGACTGTCACTCAAATTGTTATTTTCTTTCTGTTTTCACAGTGAAACCTGTTGCAACGACTTTAAAAAACTTACGTCTCACACGTGATGACTTTGAGATAGTGAAGGTGATTGGACGAGGAGCATTTGGGGAGGTGTGTGTAGTGAAAATGAAAGGTTCGGACAAAGTGTTTGCAATGAAGATTCTTAACAAGTGGGAAATGCTGAAACGAGCTGAGACAGCATGCTTTCAGGAAGAGCGTGATGTCTTAGTATATGGCGATCGTCGTTGGATCACCAATCTTCATTATGCCTTTCAGGATGACAACAATTTGGTAGGATTTTTTATTCTTAGTTTTCTTTGTTTATGTAGTACGTTGTTATGGCTGTTGAAGTTATGTGCACTAGGCATGTCTGTCTGCTTTCAAATTTTATATTATGTTTTTATTTTTTTCTTCTTTTGTGGATAATTTAATGATGTCAGTATCTAGACTGAGGGAGAGTCAGTAAATAGGTCAGGTCACAAATGGATATAAAATGTAAAACATACGATATTCAAACCTGGAAGAAACATTTATTTCTAGTCGTATTTTCCACCAACATTGATGCTTTTGTCCCATTGGTAGCACAGAAGCTTTTTTGACTGTTGTTTCAGCCACTTCCGACCTGGTCGGCCATCATGTGCAACTTTTGAATTTCCTTAAGAGAATTTCTGGACACAGTTGTGAACCACTTTATGTGACAAATACTTCCCACTGTAAACAAGAAATATTTCTTGATGAATATGCTTTGCATTGAGTACTTTTGCTCACAAAAGACTCACAACAAATCACTGCTCTTTGGTAATACACTCAAGGACGGTCGCCATTCTGGCTACTGAAACCAGCCTCTGAACATGTGCATGCTCGTCTGCAGCATAGACCGACATGAAGCTGGACTGTGATGATATCTAGTGATACACATAGAAAACCTATTACATCCATTACAGCTATTTTACTTCCATTTGTGACCTATTTACTGACTCTCCCTCATATGACATCAAGTGGTAGGATGATTGCTGAATTGGAAAGGATTTATAAAGATTGGTTGTGGTGTAATGATGACATCCTGGCATTCACCTGGTGGAATTGAGGAAAGCCACATAAACCCTCCCGCATGATAGCTGGTGCCTGGCCAAGGTTTGAACCAAGGACCTTCTGAATTCTGAATAGAAGTCTAGGGCATTATCGCTAGACCAGTCTGCTAGGTGATTTATGTTGTGCCTGATCATAATTCTGTTTTGTAAATGCTTGATAGGCTGAGAGTCTCAGAGCTTTATTAGGTTAGGTGAAAAGGGTGGACATTAAGTGACCCCTGCACCTTGACCATCCGCAGACAAGTCAGCAGCCTTGCATTTTGCGGGAGCCTGAGGGAGCAGAATCGTGAAGCAGCTAGAACCGCATGGTCGCATAGTTTCACATTTGTCATGGCATCTTTTGTGGATGGGTTCATGTGCTAGTCCAATGGAAAGCTTAGTACCCATGGACCATTTATGTTGGTATCAGTTGTTGACTGCATAGAACCGCTTTAAATTTGGGATATCCTAGGTTCAAATATCATTCCAGTGATTGACTGTTGTGATAGGTTTTCATCCATGTTAGATTGGTCTCTTGTCATCATGGCATGGCATGTCCGCAGGTTGTGGATGGAGAAGATGATCTCCAGATATGGAGGGTTGCTGCAAATATATTGAATAAGCAGTCACAGATAGCCAACAAAGGGTGGTCCTCCAGGTTTGGCATTGGCCTGACAACTCCACACTGTAAAAATTAAGCTTATTATGAAATGTCACAAAGGGCTTCAGGCAGTGTTGGATTCATTGGATGAATGACCCAAGAAAAAAGTGGTGGATAATATTAAAATGGATCTTAGATAGGTAGGATGGGGTGACATGGACTGGATCAGTCTGGCTTAGGATAGTGACCAGGGGAAGGCTCTTATGAACACTGTAACTACCCTTTAGGTTCCAGAAAACTCTTGGGAGCACTTGAGTAGCTGCAGAATGGGCGGGTTCTCAAGAAGGGCTCAGCTCCATGAAGTTAGACAGGTTTTCATGGTTTTCCTTAGTCTTTCCAGACAGATGATGGGAAAAGAACCTCAGATTAGATTATGACTACCTCCTTCCACATCCTTGAAATCCATTATTCACCAATCATTTTAACATTTCACACTATTGTTTGAGCTACTGACAATGTTGTTAAACCATATATAAATGAAAGTAAAACATATTTTGGTATTGTTATATAATTTGTGACACTGGTGTATTGAGACGATGAAATTTCTGCACATTATTTCTCATCCTAATTTTTATTTGAAGTGAATATTTGGATCCTGTAGTCTGTGTATGTCCTCAACTGAAAAGCTTGCTGTGTTGGGCACAGTTACTTGAGCTAGATATAAGGAATAGCTGTGTCAGTTGGGCCTGACAGAGACAGAGTTCAGTCTCCAAACACCGTTTCAGATAAAAATTTGGGTGATGGATGTTGCCTGGGAGCTTGACCATCAAATGTGTGAAGAGATTGAATTTCTTATTCGCAACATTTCTGTGTGTTTAATGTTTATCAGAATTATTGTTACATGTGTGTATGGATAAACCCAGCTACTCATTTTATTTAATTTATTCTTGGTTTACTTAATGATGCTTTCAGTTGCACATATTTTAAAATTGATATTGTGTGATCTGAAGTGTTGAAAGTACCATTAAATAATCAGAGGTTAAACAGAAGAAAAGGATAAAGTTTAAGCTGCACATAATGGCTGCGGGGTGAGTCAATTGATTTATGTGAACTTAATTATTTCCATTGACACATTTGCTGCTGCATCCCACTAGTGGGATTTTGTTTACTGAGTCAGTCATTTTTTGAGGCTGGATTTGAACTGACCATGTTTGAGACTGAAGTGAAAGAGAACAGTTGAATAGGGCAATTGACAATGGCTGTATGTTTTAAATGTTTCAATTTTATCAAGCATGCATAACTTTCCTCCATATTTCAGCAACATCCTGTGCAATATGTAATGGCATCAGCCCATCACATGACGAAATTAACGCTGGCACATGATAAACTTTGACTTGCCGTGTGATGATAATGACAGTGAATGTATTAAAATTTGTTAGTGAAATTTAGTCATCTTTTTGAACCTTTGAAATCGTCACTTTGCATGAAATATCAGTTAGGGGTCCTCTCTTTTCAAATGAGGCACCATGTAGTTGGTAGAAGTTTACCAACGCTTTCATCTTCAGGGCCAAAGAGTAAACCAAGCAAACAAAGCCACAAGCAAGGTGCCTTGCTTACTTTTCACCCATGAAGATGGAAGTGGTATGGTTCCCTGAAACTGGACTGCATGGTATCTCATTGCAAAGGACATTTCTCTTCAAGGGCACTGTGATAACCTTGAATCTGATGCCATTGCGTCATTTTTGCAGTATTTGGTGATGGACTACTACTGTGGAGGCGATCTTCTGACACTGCTTAGTAAATTCGAGGACCGTCTGCCTGAAGATATGGCTCGCTTTTACATTGCTGAGATGGTCCTTGCAATTGGTTCAATTCATGACTTACACTACGTTCATCGAGATATAAAGCCTGATAATGTGCTCTTAGATGCTAATGGACATATTCGTTTAGCAGATTTCGGTTCTTGCCTGAAGTTGTTTGAAGATGGCACTGTGCAAAGTAACGTTGCTGTCGGTACTCCAGATTATATTTCACCAGAAATTCTGCGGGTGAGTGAAAGGTCTTGTGGTCCAGTAAGATTGTGCACTATGTTTGTTTCGTATGAGTCTGCTCTTCAAATTTATGTTAAGAGAGCTTTTCTGAAGCTTTTTCACATGGGATACTCCTTTGTCTCAGCAAAATTTCAGATATTTCTCATTGTCAAAGGGGGCACTATATTACAAGCCGGAAGGTTGAGGGCTCGATTCCCGATTAGGTCGTTGGATTTTTCAATTGACCTCATCCTTCTAGCCGCACTATGGCCCTGGGGCCAACTCACCCTCTAACAGAAATGAACACCAGGAGCCTTCCCGGGGGTAAAGGGTGGCTGGCACATAAGGCTGACGTCACCGCACCATCCATCAGCCGATTGTCTAGAAAACGTGGGAGCCTTGACATCTCAGACCCCTGTGGGCCTCCATGGCCTGTTAACAGGGATAGCGTTCACCTTTTTTTACCTCAGTCTCAAAGTGAAACTTCATGTTCCCCTGGGTCTGAGAGAAAAATTTTTCTTATCCCTAATTGTCAATAGATTTTCCATCAAGTGCAACAATATATATTTTGATCACTTAATTATCTCATCTGCCTTACATGTTTCGGTTCCAAGGAACCATCTTCAGAGGCACTTATAACAAACCATGAAAACACTGGCACAGCTCANTTGTATTTGTATTTGGTGCACATTGTGTTTTGATTACGAAATGACTCCACGTTATGGAGACTGAATTATTAGAAAACTTGACATTTATTAACACAAATATAATGCAGGATTGAATTGTTTTACTAAGGTTTTTTAAAAGCTCAAGCAGTTAGTCACTGGCTTCCCACTGCGGCGGCCCGGGTTTGATCCCAGGTCTACTCAAGTGGGACTTGTGGTGAACAAAATGGCGCTGGGGTAGGTTTTCTCCGAGTACTACGGTTTCCCCTGCTAATCTTCATTCCACCAATTGCTCCACAAATACCGTCACCTATCATCTGGGGCTGGTACAATACAAGGTGTGTCCCGAAAGTCATGAATATATTTCTTTCCCGCGCTCCTACTGGTCGGAGCACGCTGGAACCAGTTGGGTTAGGGGGTGGAGGCCTTTAGCTTCACAGGGCGCCCAAGGTCAGTCTGCTCGAGCATCGGAGGCATCAGTATCGCTGATTTAGTGCACTTGTGTTTTGTGACCACGTCACAACGTGCGATGGCAGATACTTTCAAACAACGTTGGGCGGTCAAGTTCTGCACAAAGCTCAACAAAAAAGCTGCCGAAACTCACGAACGGCTTAAGCAAGCCTACAGGGAGTCTGCTCTATCATATGTGCAAGTTACAAGGTGGGTGAAGAAGTTTAAGGAGGGCCAGGAAGGAGTGGAAGATGACGCCCGCTCTGGATGGCCATCAACAAGCCAAACCGATGAAAATGTGACTCGTGTGCATGATTTGTTGAATACTGACCATCGAATGACTGTCCGGTTGTTAGGCGACACTCTGAACATTCCAAAAACTGTTGTGCATCGCATCATTATGGATTAATTGAACATGCGC